GTGATTTCTCACTTTCTGTCTCTCTGTCTCTTTCTGTCTCTCTGGTGAGCGCACGCGCCCTATAGCGTAAACCTCTCAAAAAAAAAAAGAAAAAAAAAGAAAAAGAAAAAGAAAAAAATCATGCTGGGCACATGTGTCTGCATACCCAAAATACCAAGAGGAGAATAGAGCAAAAGGGATTGTGGCATGGCATTCCCCCTGGAGGGGGGTGATTTCTCACTTTCCCTTTTTCTCTGTCTATCTATGGCAAACGCTTGGACCCTATGCCAAAAAGAAAAGAAAATATCTATGGCAAATGCTTGGACCCTATGCCAAAAAGAAAAGAAAAAAGAAAAAAAAGAGGTGGGGCCTTCAGGAGGTGATTAGGTAATGAGGACTCTGTTTTGGAGGTGGAAGCTTTGAAGGCTTTAGAGCTGGAAGCCACGGGTTGACAACAGCTCAAGTCCTAGTCCTGGTTGGCCTGAAAATATGTTCAGGATCTTTGGAGCTACAAGACTGGAGGGAGGCATCGCTAAGAGCTGAGCCCTGGAGAGTGCCCCATCGGTCTCTCATGCACTTGCATGTGCATGTATTGTGTCGTGAATTTATAAATTGGGATTAGTGCATTTTTTTTTTTTATTTTTTTGAGAGGTTTTTGCTATACGGCATGTGCAGTCACCAGAAAGACCAAGAAAGACAGAAAGCGAGAAATCACCCCCGGCGGGGGGCGGGGGGGGGATGGCCATGCCACAATCCCTTCTCCTCCATTCTCCTCTCGGGATCTTGGGCATGCACGCACACGTGCCCAGCGTGAGTTCAAGTCACCGGCTCCAGGGATTCAAACCATGGTCGAGTACACGGGAGTGCAGTGACATAGCCATTACGCCAACTGCTGGTCCCCCAGCATGATTTTCAAGCCACCAGGTCCAAGAAAGATTGTTACACTTTTGGGGTTGGTAGGGTGGTGCTAAATAAATACTTGAGAGAATTCAGAGTTGACAGACAATAGGGAACAACGTATTAATTCGGTTAACCCATCTGCAAAATAATAATGACTGAACCTTTTTTAAGTTCTGCTATAGGGTGCATGTACTCACCAGAGAGAGTGAGAGAGAAACAGAAGGGGAGAATTTATCCCCCAGGAGGATGCCATGCCACAATCCCTTCTCCTTCATCCTTTCAGAATTTGGCATTTGTGCACACATACCCAGCATGTGTTTTTTTTTTTAATTTAACTTTATTTATTTACTTATTTATTTTAATTTGACCAGAGAGGGACAGAGTGGGAGAGTGAGAAAGCAAGCTGCCAGGTCTGGGATTCAAACCACAGTCAGCCATGTGGGAGTGTCCAGGGCCTTAACCACCACACCACCTGCTGGCCCAATTACCAAATTCTTCAGCATATGGGGATTCTGTTTCATGAGCACTGATTTCTTGTTTGCTACCCTGATTTGAACTGCAGTTAGCCACGTGGAACTGGCTCCCTTAACCACTAGGCCATAGGGGTGGGCCAAGAAGGAAATTGTTAATGGATGGACATTTTCTGAACCTCCTTTTTTTCCCCCCTAATTTATTCACTTAGCTTTTTCATGAGAGAGCAAGAAAAACAAAACCTCCCAATAAGGCCTCTGTGCTGTAATCCAGCCCATCTCAGCAGACCTGGATCACAGTCCTGCTCAGGAAGGTCCTGGGATCGGAACCCAGGGCTTCTCCCACATGGGCCCAGCTGTGCTACCACTGTGCCAACACTTAGCTCCATCAACTTTTTGTTTTTAATTTACTAAAAATTAAAATTTTAATTTAATGTGTGATTGTCAGAGAGATGTAGAGGAAAACAGAGAGAAAGTGAAAAAGCACTCCCCTGGGCGGGGCTGGGGGGAGATATCCACGCTGCAATCCCTTCTCCTTTTTTCCCTCCTTTTAAGATCTTGGGCACATGTACATGCACTCAGTGTGTTTTTCAAGCTGCTGGGTCTGGGATTCAAACTGTGCAGTCAGCTATAAGAGATCCAGCTGCTTTAACCACCAGGCCACAAAGCCAACCATGAATCCATGTTCTTTGGCATAAGATAGTTCTCCTCTTTAAACAAGTTTATTTATTTCTTCCACAAGAGAGGGAGATTCCTAGTAGGATCTCCATGCCGCAACCTACCCCTAGTCTCAGGCGGCCTGGGTTGCAGGTGCACACACATGTACCCAGTGTGCTCAGGGAGACCCTAGGATGCAAACCCAGGTTCTTTCCTGTGTGGAATCAGTTGTGTTTTCACTGTGCCACCGTGATGGCTGGGGCGTGGTCCTGCTTGTCAAAATCAAATGGTGGGGCCTGCAGATGGCATAATGGTTACATTGCTGGACTACCACATCGTAAACTGTGGTTTGAGTCCCAGATTCAGCGCTTTCAAGCTCACGCCAGGAGTGTGTGCATGTGTGCCCAAAATCCTGAGAGGAGAATGGAGGAGAAGGGATTGTGGTGTGGCCATCCCCACTGCAGGGTGATCTCTCACTTTCTGTCTCTCGCTCCTTCGAGCACATGTGCCCTATAGGAAAAATTGCTCTTAAAGAAAAAAAATCAAATGGTACCATGAATGGCACCCGGGAGTGAGAGATTAAGACAGGATTACTGGGTATTCATCCTTTGGAATTCACATCACTATTGTCACTGCATTTATTCAGTATTTTGGGCTGTTATACGG